TGTGCTTATTACAACCTCTCTGTCAATCTATCTTGTTGAGAAGCTTCCTTTTTTTACTTATACTCTAATTTGCTGTTCATCTTTATTAAAAAATGACTGGAGCAGTGCATTGATAGAGACCTGCCAGAAATTCAAGCTGAATTCAGAAGAAGCTATCAAGGGGACGAATGATGTATACTGCATTGAAACAGATGAGGGAGAGAATTATTTAGAAGGGATATATTAATGGGTATTATTGCCATGACAGGAGTCCAGAATGAAGGCTGCACAGTGGAGTGGACTTGGGGGGGAGGGATTGTTTCTCTTTTATTTTTTAAGGAGAAGAGTGAATTGAGGGGAAAAGGGTGGGCAGGGAGAAAAGTGCAACAATGAATGAATGGAAACCCTAAGTCTCTGTAAACTTTCATTATAATTAATTAAAAAATTATTTAAAATAAAGAAAATTAAAATTTTAGATATTAGTGTATATTTTACCATTAAGCCATATTATACATTGCCAATTTTAAATGCAAAGATGCCATTGTTGTTAGTGCTGTTGAGTTAATTCTGACTCCTGTGTGCAAAGTAGAACTTCCCCACAGGGGTTCATAAGGACCTTTCATAAACTGATTGTCCGGCCCATCTTCTGAGATGAGCTCTGGGTAGGTTCAAGCCACCAACCATTGTGATAGTAGATAGTAGCACTTAACTGCTTAAGAGCATTTGATTTGTATGAGATATGCACTTTTTACTCTCTTGATTTTGTGCATACCTCATTGTTCACATACCATCAGAGTTCACAGAATACAGACAGTGCCAGAGTACAAAAGCAATCAGTTCCTGAGTGTGTCTTTAAGAATTTGTAAGTATGTCAGAATAGGTGACTCTGCATCTTACTTAGCCAGATTTTAGTAGAAAAAAAGGAGCCCTGTTGCCATAGTTGGCTAAGTGTTGGGTTGCTCAGAGATTGGAATTTTGAACCCACCATTTGTTCCATTGGAATAAGAGAAGTCATTTTCCAGATAATATCCACCATCTTGAAACCCTGTGGAGTGCCTCCATGAACCACTGTCAACTTGATGGCAGTGGGTTACGTTTAGTGCAATAAAAGATTTGAAGCCTTCCCAATGATTTACAAGCTATATGTGCAAAAAAGTGAAGGTGGTTGTAACTGACCACAATCTCTAAGGCATGTGGTTCAAGACCACCTACCAGCTCCTCTGTGGAAGAAGGATGGGCTATCTCCTCCCACATGACTGACTGCCTCTGAAAACCCATTCATGGGTCAGCTATGGATTGGTTCTGACTCTATGGTATACAACAACAATAGAGGGCAGTTCAGTCATTTTAAAGAGAAGTGCACGTATAACAAGACAAGTATATCAAGTCAGATGTTCATAACCTAAAAACTTCCTGTTCAAATGAAAAGAAAATTTTCAAGAATTTTCAATATACCAGGATATTAAGTAAAACTTGGGGCTCTTCTGAGCCTGGGGCCTGTGTAACTTCCCAGTTCACATGCTTTGTGCTGTGAACAGGAGAGTCAGAACCAACCCATAGCTAATGCTCCAGTGGGCAGGCTTGCAGAGGCAGTTAATTGCACAGAAGGAGACTGTCCGTTCTTCTCCCTCAGAGCAACTGGTGGCCTGGTACCACATGCCTTAGGGATTGCACCACAGATTCTTGTCACTAATATAATGTTTGAGAAATTTTCCAGTTGGTGGTGTCTTCATCTCTAAAGATTCTCACCACTGGGCCAATTGGCAGCATCAGGATGGATGGTGAAGAGACTGAGATTGTTTACAGCTTTAGTTTTGCTTGGCTCCATGATCAACACTATTGGCACCAGTAGCCAGGAAATTAAAAGGCACATTGCCATGGGAAAGTCTGCTATTAGGGACCTCTCCGAAGTCCTGAAGAGCAATGGTGTCTCTCTGGAGACTAAGGTGCATCTGATACAGGCCATGGTCTTTGCAATCACTTGTTATGCGTCAGAGAGTTGGACAATGACCAAGGAGGATACAAGGAGAATTGATGCCTTTGAGCTGTGGTGTTGGAGAAGAGTATTGAGAATACCATGGACTGCTAGGAAAACAAACAGATTCAACC